GCCTTTTCAGTTCCGGTCCTGTGCCAGAGGCTTGGGAGCTTTCTCAGTATCCGAGCTGTTCCTCGGACTGATCTCTTCTGAATAGAGATCTGGGATCTGTTGGAGCGACTCTCCCAGGTTGGTGGTCACAACATCAAGTGCTCTAATGACCACCGGCACTCCTGAGACCTTCTCTATGCCCTCTTTCCCTTGATAGCTCTCCATCTTGGCATGATCTTTTCTCCTTAGGTTAAAGTTCATTGGACATCCATCACCACTGCGTTGTTGGCTAACCAACCCAACATCTTCACGATGTTGGGTTGGTTAGCCATCACCTGTTTGCCAGTATCTCAGTTCAGTCATGCTCTACCATTGATCGTGGAACCTTGAGTCTATATTGTTGCTGTACATTGTTACAGGCACTAGGTTAGAGCATCACATGTACACTTTACCTGCCTGCTTTTTAATTCCAACATTGACAAGCCAGTACTTGTCAGGGCTTGCTTTACACAGTCTAAATGTGGGTGCTGTCTGGTGTGGTAGTCCAGGTGCATGCCATCCATTATCTTCTTGTCATTATTGCGTGTCCAGAGTCGGGTCATGGCGCGGCCTAAGCAGACACCCAGGCCTTTTTCTCCCCACTTGGTCCACATCCTCCGGGGGAATCCTAAAGTGTTATCAGGCCAGCTGAGGAACATAGTCCCTCTGGCCTGTCCTGGATCTTCCTTTAGGTCTCCTCCAAGCCACCTCATCTGGCCCCTCTTGAAGTGGAGGTGCAGTGAATCTTTTCTGAGATTTCCCAGATAGTACACTATATTTTACCCCTCCCACAATGGGATGGAGGATCCAAGACCCTTCTTTGGCCCATGCCCAAGCAGATCCCATGGGTAAAAATCGGGCCATTAGGCACTTGCCAACGTTTCCATCTCCAGGCCAGGTTCCAGAGGAACGTCCTGGTGACCTGCATCCAGGCAAGAGAACAGAGTTTCCATAGCTATTACTCATCATAAGTGGTCTTTGGGCTGCTCTATCTGACCTCATACAAAGCCCCTGTTTTTTCCATGGGTGACCCTGCCAAAGGCATGAACTCAAACATCCATGCAAACTGAACTGGCCCAAAGGAAAGGAACCAGTTGACCTAAATTCAGAATATATGATTACCTCATCATTTGGAGGGACATGGTTTACTTCTTTCTAGCCAGTCCCAACCCTATTACCCGGTTAACATTAAGCAGCAATGTAATGACCGGGTGAATAAGGCTGAGGCCCTTCGGAGTTAATTCCAATCTGCTCAAATCCTTGCAGCACTCTGCTGTTGGCTCTGTTGGGATGCAGGCAGCTCTGACCAAGACAGGAGGAGACTGAACAAGCTAGTTAGGAAAGCTAGCTTGGTTATGGGATGCCCAGTGGATGACGTTAAGTACATGTGTGAAAGGATGATGAAGGCAAACCTGACCCCCATCTTGGAAAACCCCTCCCACCTTCTCTATTCCACTGTGGAGGCCATGCACCCCTCTTTCAGCGGCAGACTGAGGCATCCAAGATGTAAAACAGAAGGCTACCATAGGTTATTCATGCCCTCTGCAGTGCATGTGTAACTCCACAGTTTAACTTGTACTGGCATTATCCAGGTACACAGTATCATCAGTGCAATATTCAGTAAATGTTCATTTCTTGTGCAATACCAGGTTTACATAGTATGTATGTGTCCCTAGCCATTTTTACAAAACAATGCCATCAATTTGCCGCAACACAGTGGCGGCCGCAGGGACCCTCAGGTCGTTTATAAGCAATCAGCCCGTGGCGGTAATGTGGCGCAATCGTGTCCGTTTATAAAAGATTAGACGATGGCAGCATAAAGCTGGTATGGGGCAGTCTCTGCACTGCTGCGGACTTCTGTTTATCTTGGACATAACTCGCTTTTTATTGCAATTGAAGCTGCACTCATTACGTTTTTTTTTTAACAAGCCGCTTCTAAAGGTGTCAGTCCTCAACGCAGTCTCTGGTGATCTGAGCTCCAGCTCTAATGGAGAGAGGCTTATGGAGCGCTGCAGCACTCCAGTTTATCATCTCAGCTGATTTTGTTCAGAAAGCTAAACTTACGGTCTGTGTTTACTTTCATCTCCCTCTGCAGCTCAGTATTAACTCCTCATGTCATCATGACACCTCCCACTGTTGTGCCAAGGTGCAAACTCTGTTTGTGAGACATGCAATCACCACAATATTACCACCAAGTGAGGAGGCACAATTCCCGCAACGCCATGCTGGCTATAGATATAAGACACACCGTTGTGGTCATTTTACACCGATTTGCCGGCACGGTGTGTCTGGTAAGAAGGGTTCCTTACACTCCACAGTTCTGGAAACACTAGTCTCCTTTGGATTCAGTGTTGTTAGTGGTTGAAGGTTACAATGTTAGCTTACTGCCTTTGTGTGTTTACCTGCTTAGCTTTACCTTTTCTCTGTGTGTGCTGCCGTGGCGAGTGAATGTCCCCACTATGGGATTCATAAATTCTATTCTATTCTATTCTATTCTATTCTATTCTATTCATTATAAGCCAACACCTGGAAAAGGTAACCTGAGGTGTGTACCATGAGCTGATCTGCATTCATTCGGACTCTGTGCTTTTGGAGTCATTTGAGGCATCAGAACAGAAACGTAGATGAGCGTTTATCTAAAAGAAGAAGATGCCCTCCTCAGAAGCAAACAGAACAGTTTTGTTACTTTGACTAAAAGCTTTTTCTGCTGCAGAAACCATCTGTTTCTCTGGCTTACTTTGTCAGTGTCACACCGACCTTTGTCCATCTTGCAACCTTTCACAGACCTTTCTACGCCCTGTTGACCCTGAATGTAATACCTCATGTAAACCAAGAAGAGCTGAAACAAACAGCCAAGAAGCAGAAAACGATGTTTAGTGTCAGCTGTGAATAGAGACTGTTAACCTCTGGGAGCTAGTGTGGAACAAACACACATACACACACACACACACACACACACACACACACACACACACACACACACACACATACACACACACACACACACACACGCCGCATGTACACTACTCCACCTTTAAACTTTCATCCCATTTCTAATTAATCCCTGTTAATCCCTGGCAGATTTATTCCCTTCCTGCAAAGGTTCTTGATGCTGAAGCTGAGCCTCCATCAGGCGATATGAAAAGCCCATAAAAAGAAAATGCTGCGGTTATCTCCACAGATCAGCTATTTACACTGATCTGCAGTGTTGGATGAACCCTTAGCCAACAAGAAATGACCGTCATTCAAAACCTATTTTTGCTTTTAGACTCCATAGACGTGTTTCATACAATGAGTGAGGCAAAAATAAATGATCCAGAATTCTTTGTAGAACTCTGCTGGGAACCCGTCTGGACCTGGAGCATTCCTATTAGCTTCCTGGAGCTCCGCTAATGTTAGTGTCGAGTCCAGGACTGTAACTTGGCTGTCTGATAATTTAGGAAGTGTTATCCTGTCAAGGAACTCATTGATCTCATTATCTGATGGGTTTATCTGTGGTGAGTACAAAGTTTGGTAAAAGTCTCTGAAGGTGTTGTTTATTCTTTCAGGGTCATTAACTATATTCCCGGTTGAGTCTTTAACAGCAGATATGGTAGTTTTCTCTTTATTGATTTATAACTGGCTAGCTAAGAATTTACCTGATTTATTACTATGTTCAAAGTTTTCTATTCGTAGTCTTTGTGCTAAAAATTGTGTCTTTTTGTCAATAATTCCATGAAGTTCTAATTTAGCTTTACGTAATTTGCTCATTAACTCTTATCGGTTTAGTTTTATATTCGACTGAGTGCACAACCAGATGCAGGAGACAGCCCCACTGGTGCAACAGCAGAAACACCAAGCATGTGTCCGGCTGTAACACGTTGCATCAGGTGTAGGGAAACACATGTACATACTTAACCTTTGTAACCTAAAAAGTATAAATACATCTGTGTGTACATGTTTGAACTAATGCAGCGTGCTCAAGAAGTCAAGTGTTGTGCCACAATTTCCACAAAACAACAACAGCATTAGACACACACAAGCGCGTGTGTGTGTGTGTGCGTGCGTGCGTGCGTGCGTGTGTGTGTGTGTGTGTGTGTGTGTGTTTATGATGAGCAGCTCAGGTGGAGTACTGCATCGTGATTGTTACGTAAACACACAATTAGTCACACACACAGGCCTTTATGGAAGAAGGTGTACCATGAAACAGTGTGAACAGTCAGATTTTACCATGGAAACGACAACAAACTCAGAATGTTCTGATCAGGATTTTGGGTCGATGAGGTTTTATTTCTTATTTATTGGTTTCCACCTCACTTCTGTTTTATTTAAGCTCATATTTTACTACATTCATTACAACATTTGTTTTTAGAGTTGAAAACGTTTTTTTATACTTTTTAAAGAATAAACAGTTCATCTACTTTCCTGCATTGTTAGGTTCTCTTGTCTTGTTAGATTCCCATAAATCCTCATTTATACCCCCCCCCCCCCCTTCAGTGTATGGAGAGAAAATAGGCTCAAAAGATTAGTGTTTGTGTAAAATTTGATTTGTATGTTGTTTTTATGTTTCTGTTTCTATCTTCAGCTCCTACACTCACAAATAATTAAATATGCACACACACACACACACACACACACACACACACACACACACACACACACACACACACACACACACACACACCACCACCACCACCACCACCACCCAAACATTGTGCTGAAGGAGTGCGGAAGAGGACTAGAGACACTAAAAGGGAAAAAATAATAATTTTCTGACTTTTTCACTTTTGATTTTTAAAAAATCATATTTTCTTTCTATTTTTCGTTTCACTGGCCCTAATCCTCTTCTGTAGTCAGAGCAGAGGTGATTTGCTGTGAAGAAATAGTCATAATAAGTACTTGACTTACACTGATTACTGAGTTAATCGATCCCCAGGTCTTAGACTCAGTCTGAAGTGACCTGAGTGTAATTAACACCTTTCTTTTTCCTTTGTGTGTTTCAGTCACTGGATGGGTTTGTATTTGCACTAAACAAGGAAGGCCGATTCCTTTACATCTCGGAGACTGTTTCAATCTACCTGGGATTGTCACAGGTAAGGCTTTATGGCTGTGACTGTTTGTAGAGAGAGAAAAACACCATTTCCGTAGTGAAGGTCTCATCGTTTTCATGATTGTTGCAAACTCATTGAAATTCTCATCTTTCTGAATCTTTATCTTTCCTCCTATTTTTGCACATTTCTATCTATTCTGTGTCAGTTCCAAAGATAAATCAAATCACAATTCATTTAAAATCTTGTCAACTTCTCAGGCGGTTGTTGATTTGTGCAGCAAGTGATTGGTGCCGTGTGCATTTCCTCATCACTTTCATGCTTTACACAGCCGACTTAGTGAAAAGAGCCACTAATAAGAAGTTGAATTGAAAACCTGCTTGTGTGGATTGGTTAATCAGCTCTGCATCAAACCAGCTGTGGGATTAAAGTCAGACACATCAGTTACATGTTTGAATTGGTAAACTTTGTTTCTGTTCTCAAACGCCTGCAGGTATTTTGTTCCTTTGGAGCTAAAATGTTTAAAAGGAGGTTTTTAACAGAGATGTCCGTCTTCTTAAAAGTGTTACTTTATAAACATTAATCCTTGGTTTCTGACCGCTACCAGCCAACGTCTGGTCCTAGCCCATCAGCTGTGACGGCTGATGTGTAATGGAAGCCCAGGTTGGGTCTGGTGTCTCATCTTCCTCAGGACAATGCCTCCTAGATTGTCTGTGGGGGTTTCAGGTCTGGTCTTTTGCTGGCCAGTCAAGCACAGCAGCACTCTGGTGACTGAAGCAGCGTTTGGGTGCTTTGGCAGGATGGGCAGGGGCCAAGTCCTGCTGGAAAAAGAAACCAGCTTCTCCATAAAGCCTGTCAGCAAAGGGAGCTCGGAGGGCTGTAAAATGTCCTGGTCCATGTCTGTGCTGGGTGTGACGCATATACTGAGTGGTTTCAAAAGCTTTGATACAGCAGGAAGAACAATCCCAGACACGATGCTCCAGCAAATCTGAAATATGGTTTCAGTAAAAAAAAAATGCATATATTAATAAATAAATATATTAGAAAATAATTTATGGTTTCATCTGAAACAATAATTCAATGTAGATTGTTCTTGCGTATTAAAGAGCTGATCGACTGAGAAACCATTTTTATTTACTATTTTTGATATATGATCATGTTTCATGCAGGCTGAACATGAAAATAGTCTCCTACTATCTCCTGCATTAGATTCTGAGAGAAAGCCGACGCTCTGCTCAGAAAATCCCAACAGATCTGACAGAGAGCATCCAGACTAGTAGAAGCTAAGAGTTGGCATTAGCAACTCCGCCACACAGCAGAACTCCTCCAGGCTTGTGTTATTTGTGGAGATAAAACATCAGTGTTGCAGAGAAAACAGTCAGTTGTGTTGCTGTTAGCCAGTCAGAGGCTAAATGTCCAAATGTCAGGAAACGAGACTCCACATCCTGTTGTATGAAGCTTCTTTCTCCTCCGGCTGACTTCTACATCTAAACAAGTGCATCTGAGCTTTTTCTCCAGAGAACGACTTGCAAGGCATTCATTCAAATTCAATTCAATTCAAATTCAATTCAGAAATACTTTATTAATCCCAGAGGGAAATTAAAGTTTCAGTACACACAATTCTGAGATCAGACATACACACATAGACACATGACAAGAATTGGTGACTGTGGTCATTTGCAACCCAAGTCGTGCTACCGTAATAGATCAGAGGGTTTATATGAGGATAGAGTCAGGTGGAGGGGGGAAAAGGCACTTCAAAGTTACCCTCAACAGAGAGGGCAGCTTTGCTATGCAAGAAACACCTCAGACAGAAATGCACACAGACTTCAGACATTACACAACATAAGTGTCCACTAGGTGGGGAGGTAGGGTTGGGACTCTCCTCACTTCAGTGCATGCAGCCACATGGAGCAGCGCTCATCACCTCCGTTTGGACAGGGGAGGGAGATTAACGGGTTAGAGAGCACAGTGACTCCTAGATACGGTTCCACGGCCTTCACCGGTCACAGTCCCACCCAGGCTGGGATAGGGAGACAGGGTTTCCATAGCGACGGCAGCATTCCACATTTCTTCTGGGGGGGAGTTTTCACTTCAGCCTCACAGGCTTCAAGGGCACCAGAATCAGATAAAAACTGTTTTGGGGCCAGACAGAGATAATTTCCTCTCTGCCTTAGAGTTCTGTTGGTCTTCAACCCCTCTAGATCCAATAATGGCGTAATTAATCTATCCCAATCCGTGCTGATCCGTCCACTCGCTCCTTGATGGAATCCACTTTCTGTGCCAGAGCCTGAATCTCAGCCAAAGTTCCAAGCTTACGACTCATCTCGACAATTATATGAGTTTGTGTGTTCACAGTGTGATGCATTCCATCCCTGAGCTCCGGGACTGAGCCAATATTCCTCGAAAGCTCGTCAATTTTCCGGTAAGCCAGGTAACCGCTCAGGCCAAACAGCAGGAGTCCCGACACCAAAACGACGAATATCCAGACGTCTTCAGAATCCTCTACAGACAGTTGAGAGAGGCAGATCAGCTTCCACTGTTTCCAGGAGTCCATGATATACCCAGCTGGCTCTGTCCCAGAGGGGCATCTGGGAGCCCCTTCTCCCGTTCTCATCGTTGAAAAAATGTAGTCAATCGCGTTGAGAGACCAACTGACCAGATCCATTTTTTATAATTTCCAGTTTCCAGAAAAAAATGCAGAAAGCACCGTGCACACAAAGACAGGACAAAGAGCCTTGGGATGAGGAGGGAGGGAGAGGAGAACAAAAGCATCTGTACTCTCCAAGAGCCGGAGGAAAAGCCAACTACAGACCACTGTAAATGTATTAACCTATGAGTAAAGCTGACCTTTAAAGTTTTAGGAATGTTTCTTTCCATAGTCTGACTTATGGATAATAGAAAACTAATTATTTTACTATTTGACTTTACTTGATAAAGTCCTCGACCCAGACAATACTCTTTTCACTCCATTTGGAAAGAGCCTTTTTCGTACAAGAGGGTGAAATGAAGAATTTTTAGATACCAGACACGTTTATCAGATACACTTTGTTTCAGCTGAAGATGCGTAGCAGCAGCGGAGAGAGCCAAACCCCATTCAGGCCTTTCAAAAATACGTTGGAATATTAAAATTCATTCAAAGTACAAATACATTTTATTTAACGTTGTCAGATCAGAGACATCCGTGCTTATAGAGTGAAACTTTATAAACTGCACCATCACTGAAGCACTGGATTCTAAAATACCACAAAGGAGGGAAAGATTTTCTGTTTTAGCAGGAAGTTTGTTAGAGAAAAGTCCCAGAGAACCCTGTAGTTGTAATAGAAACTGTCAACTCGTTTAACACACATGCAGACACAACGATAGCCTTTTCACTGGTCGTATGAGTAAAGTTGGGCTAAAGGCGCACTAAGCTACTAAGATCACATGTATGTGCTAAAACGACATTTTACTGGGTGAATGAAAAGTAGGAAGCCTTCAAACAGGAGTGAACCATCATGGCCAGTCAAAGACTAAAGGTAAGCTGCCTACACATCTGTAACATTCTCCCCCCATGGACTAATTCCCCTTCCAGGATTGATTGATGATTTATATCAAATAATTGATTAATTGTATAATCAGGTCCCCTAAGCTTTTCTGCCGTGCTAGTTATCTCGTTCACTCAGCTTTTATCAGCAGCTGAAGGAGTGCCACAGCGATTAACACTGGCAGAGACGGACGGAGACAGAAAGATCAAGCCGAGAACAAGCTCCGCCCTTTGATCCAACATGAGCACACAAAGTTTGTCAACCTCCATCCACTTAATTGCTCTTCCTTTTCTCCTTTTAATCATGCTTTCGCCACTTTATAGGGAGAAAATTATCACTAATTATTTTTCCACTTTAATTAGACCTTCCCATGCAAGAATCGGGATGAGTAGAAGGGAATGTGGGGGGCTGGCTGCTGGCTTTAAGCCTTTCTGCAAATTGATGATGTTATATTTTCCTGCTTGGTGGCCAGTGCTGAAGCAATCCTCTGGCACAATTACGTGCAAAGAGGATTTTCTGGCTAAACTAGTGTTGTTGCTGTCTTGTCAGGGAGATGGCGAACGTGGCTGGCCAGTCAAACAGGTCAGTAATAAAAGCATTAAAGCTGCTGCTGTAATTAAACACGGGCCTGTCTCTACAACCGATACTCTTTACCGTCTTCTTAGAAGACAACTCTCCTTTTGAAATTGAGACTATTCCACCCGAGCCCTAACCCTTACCACGTAGACATGTACAAAGATAGACTAAGCATCTCCACCCTTTGTAGTTCAAAAGTAAAACCACAAGATCTTCTGTGAAGGCATGTCATGTTGCCAATGTCTAAAAATAAGCTGGGGACTTGGTGCGGACTGGTGCTGCGTCTGCAGCGATGCGGGCGTTGTACCGGTCTGTCGTGGTGAAGAGAGAGCTGAGTCAGAAGGCAAAGCTCTCGATTTACCGGTCGATCTTACCCTCACCGATGGTCGCGAGCTTTGGGTAGTGGCTGAGAGAACGAGATTGCAGATGCAAGCGGCTGAAATGAGTTTTCTCAGCAGGATGGCTGGGCTCTCCCTTAGAGATAGGGCGAGAAGATCGGTCATCTGGGAGGGGCTCGGAGTAGACCTGCTGCTCCTCCACATGGAAAAGAGCCAGTTGAGGTGGCTCTGATTAAGATGCCTCCTGGACACCTCCCTGGTGAGGTTTTCTGGGCATGGCCAACTGGGAGGAGACCTGAAGGGAGACCCAGGATACACCGGAGGGACTATGTCTCTCGGCTGGTCAGAGGACATCTTTGGATTCACCCGGAGGAGCTGGCCCAAGTGCCTGGGGAGAGGGAAGTCTGGGCCTCTCGAATTAGGCTGCTGCCCCCGCGACCCAATGGAAGAAAATGGATGGATGGATGGATTATTGCCGTTTTAGCCAGGGCAATGCCCCATTCCTTCACAGAACCTGTTCTAGATCCAGCCATCCGGGGGGTGTCCGTTTTGTTTTGGCTTCAAATTTGGATGTCTGGTTAATATCAAGTCACTGAATTACCCC